TCTGGTCCCATGAGCAAGAACAATGTTTTCTAAAGTTAAAAGAGATTCTCACACAAGAGCCAGTGCTGAAGTTTTATGACCCAGAGAGAAGCACCAGGATCTCAGCAGATGCATCACAACACGGACTGGGTGCAGTGCTGCTGCAGCAACATGAGGAACAGTGGTTGCCGGTAGCCTACGCATCCAGAGCTTTGACGAGTGCAGAGACACGATACGCTCAAATCAAAAAGGAGCTGTTAGCGAGCATGTATGCATGTGGACGTTTCCATCAGTATGTCTATGGCCAAACTTCTGAAGTGGAAACTGACCACAAACCACTGGTGTCCATCATGTCCAAACCACTGAACGACTGTCCAGTACGGATACAGCGCATGCTAATCAGGCTACAGAAATACGACGTGCACATGATCTACACCAAAGGAAAGTATATGTACACAGCTGATACATCATCAAGAGCAGTGGATAAGGAAGAGCATGAAGACCTTGAGAAAAGGTCACAGCACGTTTCCTTATAGGAACATGTCTGTCTAACTACTTTGTGAACAATTCATTGAAAACTGCTACTGCTTGACATGGATCATCTTCACTTAAAACCTGTGTCCAACTTATTTTCCTCACATCTTCTATGAAGTCATCTTCATTGAAGTATTTAAACATCCGTCTGCACACAAATAATTGGCCTTTTTTAGGCATCTTTGTTTTCCTTGTTACCGCAATTAAATTATGGTCGCTACAGCCCACTGGAATCGAAACTGCTTTAGAACATAAATTTGTCATATTGGTAAAAATTAAGTCAATCAAAGTTGTAGAAAATTTGCCATTACTTTTCATTTGAATTCTAGTATCAGCCTGCACGAGTTGTGATAAATTACAAATGTTGGTAAATGAAAACAATTTATTCCAATGGACAATTTCCTGATTTCCAGTCTATATTAAAGTCACCCAGGAAAAAAAATTCTTTTCTCAGATCACATGCCTTATCCAACATACCTCCTATCTGATCCAAGTGGTATATAGGAGCATTTGGTGGTCTGTAACAACATCCAATAATGACAGCTTTTAAATGAGGAATCTGCAATTCTAACCATAGTGTCTCAACTTCAGTTACCATGAAATCTGTTCTTACTCTAACTGGAATGTGATTTTGGACATAACAGGCCACACCTCCACCTCCAGGCGATGGGGCCTTCCAGCATCTCCCTGTGCAGGTGTTCAGGAATGGAGGACAGGGCCTTGAGCCACAAGGCCCGCTGGATAAGGGTCTGCCATGCAGCAATGCGAGCAGAACCGGTGAGTACAGCAGCGCACAGATTGAGGAGGGCATCAGCAGTTTTAGTAATGATGGTTTCTGACTCGACAGGAGCGTCAAGCTCCTCCACCATTTTGGAAATGCCAAAGGCGAGAAGGCGATGTTATTTCCTGCAGCGCCGGTCTGGAAGGTGCACTGGTGTGCGCGACCGGCGAGCCGCCTCAGCAGCTGGTCATGCTTAAAAGCGGGAACTGCTCGCGGTCCAGCGAGGTGGTTCTTGACGCCACACAGCGAGGCCAAGTCCGGCTCCAGTGGGGGAATGGATGGCCAGCCCAGGTCGGAGAAGCCCTCGACCTTGGTAATGGGCACATATGTGGAAATTGGCGCCTTGAGCCCGGCAGGCTCGGAGAAGGCAGCGGACCAGCAGCTCATGGCAGCGGGGAAGCGTGGCCAGACGGGGTCTGGACAGCGCGTCTGTGTCGCCCCGAAAATTCCCGCCAATTCATCTGCCTCAAGCGGAGCCGGTTCTGGAACGGCTAGCCCCTTGCGGGCCGCAGCCGCGGAGATGATGGCGGGCGGCTCCTGGAGCAGTGCTCTAACTGCTGGCAGGGAGGAGCGAGAAGCCACTGGGGCAGAAGGACCCGCTGAGCGAGACTCGTCGACCTCCGTGTTGTACAGGAGGGAAAAAGGGCTATGGCAGCCAGCTTCGTCGTACTCCTCGCTGTCGATGACATCGTCCAGTCGGTAGGAGCCAGCCGGCTCCTGGCCGACGTTGAAGAACTGTAACGCCTTGTCCAGCGAGTACGTGCCACCCACCGGAATTTCCTCGTCGGTGGTGGGGGTGAAGTACTCGACCCGGCGGACCTTTTCAGCCACGGGCAGAGCGGTACAAAACGGGCACGAGGCCTGGGGTCAAGGCCAGGCCAGCGTGGTGAGCCCCGAGACAGACCTTACACTTGGCGTGCAAGTCGCCGCTGGAGATGGAGCCCGTCTGGCAGGCCGGGCAGGTCCTGGCGTCGCTGGACATGGTCAGTGAGTAGATTTTTCTTGTATAATTGCTCTTAAAGGAAGCTCTTAAGCTTGGCATGAAGAGAAAACTGAGGCGAACAGTGGGGTCGTTCCACTTATATAACCCACAAGGGGTGCCCACCATTGGTGGGCGTACATTTAAGCTCTTCATGATTGGCTGATGCTGAGATCACCCTTCCAATAGCAGCTCGCTTAAGGGCTAAGACTAGACGAAATAGAACTGCTCATTGGGCTTCAGTTCAGCTCTTCAGAAAGCTACGAGAGATGCCACCGAGTGTTGGTCCAGTAGTTTTAAAGTTAGATTGAACACAGTCTCACATTTTCTTCCAGGCCCACGTGGACTTGAATGGACTGCACTGTGAGATTGCGGCAGAGTTGTTTCACATGAGGTTTGTGACTTTTTGTAGCCTAGTGAACTAGACCAAATTCTTGCATTGCAAAGAATGGTCTAGGCATGCTCCATTGGAACCTCAGCAGCTCCTACCAGGACTCTGGCTAGCCAATCACAGCTCTCTAGAGGGGTTTCAAACACATTAAGAGCTGTGATTGGTCCATAATGGTGGGCCAATCATAGTGCTCTATCTGCTTAGTGAACAAATCACAGAGCTTTATCCGATTTGTGGGCCAATCAGGGCACTCTATATGCCTGGTGGGTGGGATGATGCAACAGAGTGAAACAAGAGTATGTCACATTCATTGTCCAGTGGAATGTGGAGATCATTTGAAAGACAACGGTAGAACCCGTCCCACAACCGAGAGCCGTCAATGGAGCATGGCCAGACTAAATAATACATTTATTTAGTCTGGCTTGCCAGGCTAGACTTTTTGACCAATAGCATGCTAACTCTCAAAAAGACAGTTAGCAGTAGCTAACCTTAGCTAGCTTTTTTGTCTATGTGCACAAATCATGTGTTGTGATGTGTGTTGTGTTGTGATCTGTGTAAATTGTTGGTTAATATTTTATTCAGTTAATTTTGTTCCCCTTCTTCACCATTAGGTGTCTATACATTGTGGTTATAATCCTATATTTATTTGAAATATATATCCCAATTAATGTTTTAATTAACCCATTTCCTCCAAATCTACCTTGTGTTTAATTTCCTTGTTGAAGAAGTCCCTTATCAACTAAAAAGAAATCACTCTCCACTAAGTTAGGGTGACCAGGTGTCCCAGTTTACCCGGGACAGTCCCGATTTTGAGCCATTTGTCCTGTGTCCCCAAAGATTTTTACAAACCAATTATGTTGTCCCGATTTCGCCCAGCCTTGGTCCCAAGTGTCCCGATTTTGAACTAATTGCTCATAGTTCACAGAACTAATTGTCACTGGGTTGTTTGTATGTCAATCAGAACGTTGTCATAGTTACATTAGCTCAACTTTATGTCACATGTCTGTGTAACCTAATGCTCATTGGTTGATGACAACGCCATTGACGCAAGACGGCTCCTAAGTCCTGCGTAAAGACGATTCACCAAGTCACTCGTTGTTCAGCATGCCTAAAAGATGGTCAAGAATAACAAAAGAGCTACTGGAACGACACAGCTTTCTCGGGAAGGTGCCAGGTGCAGCCTGCTGCAGACTGAACTGCATTGTGCACTATGTGCGCTGCACATCCTACACCAACCAGACTGTTGGGGGTGGCCTGATCAAGTTTATGAAAAACATTGTTTTGTCCTCGTCTTGCTTTTCCTCCAAAATTTGTATTGGTGTTGTCTGCACAAAAGCCGACCACTTTATCCACCAAACCGAATGCAGATAGGCACCTGTAAACCTCATCACACAGCAGGGTTGAGGTCTCACCTGGTAGTGATGTAAAGTCGAGTATCTTCACTCTGACCCCCTCGGTTATTTTGAAGTAGCGCACAACAACAGGAACAAGCTTCACTGCCTTGTGGTTTGATGTGTCAACTGCGACAGAGACCAGAGTAGTATCCGTAGCGTCTTCTTTTAGCAAATCCATAGCATGCGGGGCAATTACACTTGTCACCACTGCCTCAGCTTTGGTCCGAGCACTCGTAAAACGCTGGTCATAAAATTTTCGAAGTAGTCCAGCAGTCCAGTCCATTGAACGAAAGTTGTGATTGTGCTTAACAAGGTGGTAGGCAAATGTTGCTTCCTGAGCAGCGCGTTTAAGGTCTTTGTCTCCAGCAGCAGTAGCACTAAAAAACATGCTAACCGAACTTCCCGCCTGTTACCACCGCTTATGTTTGCTAGTTTTAACATGGTTCTGCACGTCCGCGTTTCCACCATGAGCAACGGAGAATTCACACTTATATAAGACGTAAAACGCAGCATATTCATTTCCTGGCACCTTCCTGAGAAAGCTGTGTCGTTCCAGTAGCTCTTTTGTTAGTCTTGACCATCTTTTAGGCATGCTGAACAACGAGTGACTTGGTGAATCGTCTTTACGCAGGACTTAGGAGCCGTCTTGCGTCAACGGCGTTGTCATCAACCAATGAGCATTAGGTTACACAGACATGTGACATAAAGTTGAGCTAATGTGACATTGAGAACTTTGTTGTCAAGGTTTTTGGATATTTTCCCATCTACACTGTCCGAACTGAGGAGCTGAAAGACTTCTGTTCATTTGTTGATGTTGAACATGCCACTCTCCTTGGGACCAGCAGAACCCATTGGCTCTCACTGGGACCTGCAGTTGAGGGTTCTGAAGCTTTATCCAGCACTTCAGTCCTACTTCCGGTCTCAGGAAAAAGCACCAAATTTAATCATCAAGTTCCTAGAAAACCAAGTGTGTGAGGCCTGGCTGTGGTTTACACACATTACAACCAACTGTCACTGTTTAATGACACCATCAAAAAGATGGAGAAAGAGAAGAGCACAGCTGTCCACGCTGCACACACCTGTGTGATCTACAGGAGAAACTTTTGGAGAGGAAGGCCGCCCTCTTCATGGGATTAAAGGTGAGTTTAAACATATTCAAATTAAAAGTAATGTAAAAACAAGGCTCTTATATTAATGCTTCTTGAATTATTATTGGTGTTTTTTTCAGGTGAAGAGCATTCTGGCTACCCAAGAGCGCCCTCAAGTGGAGGTGTTTAAGCAAAGCGTCCACACCTTCTATGAAGGTTGCATCTCATATCTGCAGGAGTGGAGCTCCTCATTTACTGACATGAAGTGCTTCTCTTGGACCCTGCTCGAAGATCCACCAGGTTGGGATGAGGTTGAGAGCTCCCTGAGGTGTGTCTCCTCAAAGCTGCCAAACATTCACATCAATGAAACGGAGCTCTTTGACGAAGTTACTTCTGTCAAACCTTACACATCTGACAAGATTGGACTGTGGGACCGAGACATTAAACCAGCAGATGAGCGCTGGGCTGAAATCTTAATACATTTTAAGCATCAGCATGTCCCATTTAAAAATGTAGCCGTCATCTGCCAGTTTGCCATGTGCCTACCTGGCACAAACGCCTCTGTGGAACGCATTTTTTCTCTCATGAACAACACTTGGACCAATCGTTTGGGACTGGAAACTCTGAAGGCACTGCTCATTACTCGGGTGAACTTTGATGACTGCTCTGAGTTTCATGCCAGACTTGTTGACAACCACAGTCTGCTTAAAAAGATTCACTCAAACATGAGATACTCTTAAAGAGTTACTGTGACATTAAAGGGAACAATAGGGCTGTTCATTTAGTGCAATATTTTTGTTTCTAAAAAACTTGAAGTCAGTGAAATACTTTTTTGTTCACAAAAGGGCTACATTTAATATTGCCCAATGTGTTTCACAAATACAGTATTATTTTGAAAAAGAAAATAACAAAACGTTGCACCAAAAAAAGAATGTCCTTATTTTTAATAGGATGTTCAAATGTTGTTGCACTTTGTACAATAAAAAGCAGTTATAAGTCACCAGCAAGGATTTGTCAGTCTTTAATTTTGTGTAAAACTTTGGTGTCCCAGTTTTCAGTTTTTTAAATCTGGTCACCCTAGGCTGGGATCAACTGACGACACCCAGTCGAACTAGCTACAACAAGCTAACCTGAAGCTAACGCGGAGGTGGGAGCTAAGTTAACGGAGGTAGCAACCTAGCTACAACCGGAGTTAACTGTGCACAACACCAGAGCTTCTGAGTCAGTGATACGCCGGGCTGACCGCTGGGTAAAACCGGGTGGAACACAGAGGTCTCTGAGACCTCCACAAGCCGGCAGCCGCACAGCAGACAAGCGCCGCTGCGATCTGAGATGCGCAGAGCTGCCGATGGGGAGAACCGGGTGAAAGGTTTCCATCCCAGAGCTCCACAAGTCAGCAGCCCGCGCAGCAGACAGGAGCAGCGATCAGACAGAGATGCGCCGAGCTGTGGGGAGGGGAGAACCGGGTGGAAAACATCGGTCTCCCGAGAGCTCCACAAGCCGATAGTCAGAGCCCAGCTCCACCAACATGTTATATTTCAACCCATTTTCTAAAGTGCAGCATTATGTTAAATGCACTGGGTTTTACCCTATTACATTTAAATTTCATGGTTAAACAGTACATGTTAAAATCTAAGCTCAGCTCGGCAGTGACCTAAAATACATAAATATAATTTTACTTACCGAAAAAAATTAAGTGGAGACCCCTTGGACGCTCTATTAGTGCAATTAATGCCACAGCAAGTCATTTTGTCCAACAATTGCACAAAAATATCCAAAAAAGAACACACAAACGCTACAACTAATGGTCTAAGTTGAGAGACTGAAACTGACGGAACAGTTATCAGGCGAGGCCGAGGCTCAGACTGAGGCCTTTCCCCGGAGCTAGCTCTGCGGTCATGTGGGTCTGATGCTCATTAATTACTGTAAATCCTCTAATATTGGCCTGTATTCAATTGACGGCCGGGTATCACATTTTGGCCGGTGTCGAAGTTGGCGGAGGTGAATAGTGGCCGGTTTTTTATTGTGACCAGGTGGAATGTGGTAACAAGCAAGTACCACAGGGGGGGGGGGGGGGGGGGGGTTGTGTCATCCGTCTCACTTTTGATTTGCCAGTGATAGACCGCGAGGGTAACTTTAACCGTGCGGAGACGAAGGGGAGGCGAAAATTTGATATCAAGTTCAAAGAGAACGTGCTGATTATGCTGCAGAACACTCTGGGGAGCAATATGAACTAGTCACTAGTCGACTTCACCGCTCTATAGTGACTTGTTATGCCTGTCATTGACTAGTCGCTGTCACGTCATAATGACCGGCAAGATGCAGTCCTTGGAAAAGACAGCAGCCTGCTGTCAGCAGGTGACAAGCTCCTGCGCGTCGTGAGGCAACGCGCTGTGCCAGAGCGTCGGTACTGACACGCGCCGTAAAACGGTCATTTAACCAAATTGTGACCTTTACCCTCTTGCAATTTAACCTTCCCCTCACCCCCATCCTAACCTTAACCAGCTTGCGCATGCAAAGCTCTGATTGTTGACGCGCTCCAGACATCTGCGTCCTGAGCACGGCCACAGTAACGTTATCAAATCAGGTGTCGCCACCTCAAAAACTAATTTAACACGCGATCGTTCATGTCGGCTCATTTCCTTTAATGTTTTCTGTCTTTTATTTGTGCCTGATGCTTTTCGCTGCTGTGGATCGGGGCGCATCACCTTGTCCTCCAGTGACGCACCGGTGCGGCCGGCGAGCAGCGCGCATTCCGCTGTTTTTGCGGTCGGTAGATCTTTTAGAACTGCAGTTCAAAGGTAACTCGTAAGGTGAATATATATGAAGGCAGGTAGCAGTTTTTCTTTAGGATTGAGATGCAGGAAGATAATAAACAGACAGGACAGAAAAATAGTCAAATAAAAACAAGTTAGTTTTTGTACCTGCTGGTTGCAACAAACAGACACCATTGAAGGTAATCAGAAGTGAGGAACAGAAAATGAAATCATTATTTTAATGTTTAGAGCAGCAGGAACTCTGAGAGGCTGCAGGCGCATCAGTGAGTTTGCGGCCGCTGCGCAGGGGGAGGGGGGAGAGGGCTGAAGCAGAAACTACCGTTGTTAAAAGAAACGTGTTTAACTTTGAAAATGTGGGCGCAATTTTAATTGTCAGAAACTCCAACGAACCATTAGTTCATTTTGCTCCAATAGAAATTGAGGCCTGCCTCTAATTCTGGTCCTCCTTCCAATAAATGCCTGGAGCTTGAGTCAAATACAGGCCCGGGCCTGTATTAGAGGATTTACAGTGTACAGAATTTTAGGCTTTTAATACACTTAAACAGAAGAGTGAAAAAAATTCACCCCCCTCAGAGTTGTCATGAGTGTAAACTAGATCATTTAAACCAAAAACCAAGCTGTACACATGTTTATTTCTGCTGTGAAATGGTATTTTTAACATGGGAGTCAATGAGGATTTGCTATTTTCTGACACCAGCCCCTAGTGGATGAGGTTGGAACTGCAATTTATTTCACTTCCGCATTGGCCTCACTTTCAGAACCGAATTGTGGGGGCTTGGTTTCGACTTCCTCCACCACCATACTGATACCGCTGTCACCACCTGGTGCAGGTGCATGAGACAATGCATCAGCCAGTACAATAAACTTGCCTGGCATGCCTGGCAAACTTTCCTAGCATGTATATCAGTTCAAAAGCTGCAGCATCACTATCATACATTGAATTTCTTGGTGACATGTCATTGAGATTCAACTTCCTATTTGTGATGAGAGGTTTGTGATCCGTTTCTGCTATGAATGTTGGTAAACCAAACATCTAGCCATGGAACTTCCTGCATCCAAAGACCAAGCCTAAAGTTGCTTTTTCTATTTGAGCGTAGCGTTTCTCAGTCAGATCTGGATGCATATGCCACCGCCCGGCTGCCACTTATTTCATTCTTTTGCAACAGTACTGCTCCCAAGCCATCGTTTGAAGCGTCCGTAGAATCCAGAGAGGGATGGAGAAACATCAGGAGACACATGAGGAAAGACGCAGACGCAGACCATGACAGCAGGATAATGCACCACGTCATAAAGCTCAAATCATTTCACATTGGCTTCTTGAACATGACAAGATCGGTCAGATCTGGGATACGGCGAGAAGACCCGTGAGCCTGATCTGGACTCCAGGGAGAATGCTGAACATCTTCAGAACCAAAATCAGTTCAGTTTGTTTACTTTAGATGAATATTTCATTTCTAAGCTTGTAGCCCTCAGCTGACGAGTTGTTAGCTGAACATTAGCCCCATCATACCGTCCCAATATAATTCACTAATCTATAGATAAAACAACGTGCTGCCAGTTGAACCGCTGCGTGTTTATATTGAAATAACTCCAGAACAAATTTAATCGATAGATCAGCAGAATAATTCCTCCTGACTGGGATGCTGCAGTAGCTCGCTAGCTTGTGTTTGTAGTAATCCAGGATGGTTCTGAGGTTCTACCGGTCTCTGGAGGATCCGTTGTTGAAATATGTGGATCTTCTTTTAGATCTTATCTGTGTGAGTGTGTCGTGGCTTTCCAAATTACTTTTCCCCTTGCTAACACAGTTAGCTGTGTTGCTGCAGTCATGCTAACGGGACTCGTCTGGAGTGCAGACGGACCGGTAGCGGTTCCAGATAGATTTAGGTTTTTATTTTAGGTCAAACCGTTAGTTACAATGTGTGCAGGACTCCGACATAGGGTTCAGACTTTTGGCTGCAACTGTAAACACAATTTTCTGTAATTATTGAATATGAAGTTGATTAAAATACAGCTAAACACGACGTACTAGCGGCATGAGCTGCCCTGTAAGACATCTTTTTAGTGACGTATGACAAACAGCTCTTCACTGTTTAGAGGAATTTAGATTTTTATGATGATTTATGACAAAATTCCTTAAACTGAATAACTGAGCCTAGTTTATCTTTATGTAGATGGTAAAGTGTAGTGAAACAGCGTTAGTCTCAGTCGGCATAAGCAGCAGGGCCCTGCAGGGAATCGAACCCCGTCTCATTACTGAGAGTTCCGTTACCAGAGCCTTTTGCTTTGGGCGACCGGGACGGTAAAGCAAAACCTGCATCAACACAGCATTTAATGTTGGAACATAAATTCTGTCTTGAAGCAGGAAAAAAGAAACCGTCCGACTAAAAAATAATTTCCAATTAAATTCATTTTAGTATTTTATAAACGTTTTACAGATTTAGAGCCTCCTTTGACTTTTATGCTTTTCGTTAACTTCTCGTTCTTTTACGATGTTTATCCGTTCTTTAGTCGCGGTCAAACGCATCGTAATTTTGTTCTGCGGTGAATCTTAAAGTTATGTTGAATGTAAATAATCGGAGTCTTTATTGCTTTAATTTAACAGCACAGTAACTTGTTAAAATATTCAAGTTAAATTTAATCATTTACATGTTTAGACTATATTTTATTAGTCTTTACTATTTTAGTATTTATTGTTTAACTTTTGTAAAGAGCTATTTTTAAACGCGTGCACATTTAAACACTAAAACCTTTGTTTGCTCCGTCTGTGTCAGAGCTCTGCTGTTCAGCTCCTTCCTGGTTCCTGCAGGACCACAAAGCCCAGAGAAGCTCAGTCCAGCAGGACGTGAGGACACAAACAGACACGGAGAGCTCCTCCTAAACCTGGAATCAAACGCTTCTACAGATTATTTAGAACAGTTTCTTGTGACAGAACAGTTAGTGAAACAGAAAGGACATGATGAAGA